AGGGGGGGTACTTGAAGAGAGATTAGAGGAAACGTTGGTGTGATTCCCTTTGACTCTGGGCCCAGCTTGTCTTCATAGAAATCGGTCCACAAAGCCCAGACACGCCTAGTTAATGTGATTATCCTGCATGAATGGATGTTGCCACAATGCCGCTCAGACCTCACACCGCACTTGCAGAGAGGCACGAGACTGTAACTCAGTCCTGGGCGGGAGGGATACTCCTGGTTTAGCACATGGAGTAAAAGCATGTAAAAAAGTGAAAGATTATTGATTGGGATTTGATTCGGTTCTGTGCTGCCGGTGGTACGCCCCTCGGTTTTATTTCAGGTACTCCCCTGAACTCAGCCCAATATGTCACTGCTAAATGAAGCCTCACAATAATTGGACTAAACTACAGTGCTTTCTTAACCCTGGTGCGTTTGTGTGTCTTTTGTAATTGTGTTGTCTTGTTGAGCGGGCGGTGGGTGAAAAGAAAATTTCCACTGTGTGGAAAGAAGAAAAAAAAAAAAAGGGTGGGGTATGGATTTAGAGAGCGGCACCATAATGTCAGTGGCCTTGTGGGAATAGAATGGGAATAAATGAGCATAAATGGATTATCACAGCCCTCCAGCTTTACAAGTGGATGCTGTCAGAGGAGGGTTGTATGAAGTGTGTGCTTATTTAAAGGGTGTGAAAAGGGCGCTGTTGGGTATTTTTTATAATAACCACTGTCCATTCCCAGTCATGGGGAATAATTAAAAAAAAGCAAGGTGTTGCACAGAAGAGGAGGAGGAGGAGGAAGAGGGAGCGTTCAGTTTCTGAAGCTATCTTGGTGATTCAGAATGTGATCGGGGCCGGGTTCCGGTGGCTATCGGGGAGCTGGGTAGGATTTTATGAGGCTCATAACAGGCTGGATGCCCGTGGCACTTGATTGCTTCTTAAATGCCAGCCGGGATGAGTCATATTAGCGAGAGGGAGCGAGCGAAAGGAGCCAGGCATGGCAGCCGACCGGGTAGAGAGGAGGCGGATGCTGCCTGTGAATAGGGGTAAAGACCCGAGATCACGGGGGAAGGAACAGAAAGCAGGGGTGAAATAAGGATGGGGACGGAGAGGGGGTTTGGGGGATGGTGGTGGGGTGGGGGGTAGCAGCCCGCAAGGTATGGGAGGAGCTGAGGAGAGGCAGAGATGCTGCAAAGCAGGAAGGAAAAAAAAGAAAAGAAAAAAGGATGAGAGGGTGAGGTGGTGACAAAACTAAAGGGGTGGCGGCCGGCGAAGGTGAGCAGGCGCTAAAAAAGAGAGATCAAAGGTTGAGAAAAAACATGGAGGGATGGAAAGCCGGCACGCCGCAGCCATGTGGGTGAGGCGCTGGCTTTTCCCACGGAACGCCGCCGCCGCCTGGGGCGCGCACGCCGCAACATGGGGGTGGGGTGTGTGTGTGTGTGTGTGTGTGTGGGGTTGTACGTCCACCCGGCACACCAGCACTTCTTGAGCATAAATGCACCCAGACAGGCTTTGTAGTCTTCACGGATGGGCGAGCAAAGAGCTCTGTAATACCACCGGGGGTCTCGTCTTTGCGGAGCGTTGCCGGTTGCCTTTAGAGGAGTGGCCACTGGCAACCGGATTTAAACGTCCTCGGTCACCCCCAGCATCTTTATCCTTTGTCTGGCTTTTGCTTGTCTCAGCACTTTTCAAAACGCCCCGGGAAAGTTCAACTTTCCAGTCCAGTCCAGTCCAATCCAGTTTTATTTTTATTTTTTTTAAATCCAGGTCTCTTCACCACATTCATCCTTATGAAATCGAAGCCCCCCGCCAGGTCTTTCACAACTTCTGTCCCAACTTCATTTGTGCTCCTCATCTTAGCACCGAGAGCCTTCCACCTACTGCCATTTTCTTCTTTCTCAGTTATAATGTTCCCGTTCCTGAACTTGAGATTTCAAGATTTGCCGCCTGCTACCCGAAAGATGATTATTTCAACTCATTCTGAACTTGAAACCCTGACTTTAGATTAGGGACACATTACCCCTTCCTGCATCCACCAGCCACCCCCCCTTTTTTCCCTCTAGCATCTTTCTCTTCTCCCGTTTCCCCTCTCTACCATCCTTATCCCCAGCCCCTATGAGATCAGTGGTGATTGCAGAGCCTTTGTTCAGTCGGAGAGCCGGTGTAATTGAATTAAAGGCTGCTCCAGAGGATGTTATGGGGCCGGCACACGGCTGTTATTAGTTGCTGCGAGCATCTTTTCCAGGGCTGTCGTAAAAAAGAAGAAAAAATAAAAAGAACAGGGACAAATGGCAGCGTCTTTTCACTCGTAAATTCACCCTCTGAGGAGAGGAAGGGACAGAGAAGGCGAGCGGGGGTCTGGAGCAGCCGCCACCTGAGCCCCCCCCCCCCTCTCCTCGTCTGCAGGAGAAAGCCGGCTGAAAGGGTGTGGTGCTCTGCCGTGTGCATGCATTTGAGAGCGAGAAAGAGGGAGAGAGAAAGAATGAGTGGGTGGCAGTTTGCTCGCCGAGGAAGAAGGAGTGAAAGACGTGGAAGGAGAACGGGAGATATTCAGCCGTTGCAGACTGCAGCCTTTGCTCTCTGGTGTCTGGGTGGTTCTCAGAGGAAAAACCAGACGGATTCAGCAATCCTACAAAGACTTTTTAGGGGGAGAAGTGTGACAGCATGACATGAACGTACCACGTGCAGCGATGTGAAAAAAATGTCCGCGGTAGTGTGACAAAGATTTGATGAGTTCATTTTCCTTGAGTAATTCCTCTTTCCCCACACGCAAATCTTACAGAAATGTCTCTCTTTTCGGTGATTTACGAAGCAATCATTAGCAGCACCTGTTGGTTTGGTCGGTCGAAGCTATGATGGTGCAAAGATTACCTTTCATTATCTCGAAACTGGAACGGAGTCTGGGCGGAGCACCAAGGTGAAACTGAGCGGGAGTTGATAAGACGTGATTTAAAAAAAGAAGTAAACCTAAAACGATTATATGCACTTCTCTACAAGTGTCTCTGTGGTAATCCAGCATTCACCTTACTGCTCCACTGCCCCCTCCCCCCCCCAGTTTCCCCTCCCTTTTCCTTCCTCCTGAAACAAGTCCCTGATGACACTCGGTGAGGCGGTGGGAAGGTGGTGGATTGTCACTGTGTGTCATCGATGGGGGGATGGGCGATGGCTTTGAATAAGAAGGTAATGCCACTGGCTCTGGGGTGTGGTTCTCACGACAGAGCCAGTGCCCGTACCCAAGGACAGAGGCGGGAGGAGGAGAAGGAACATGCCCGGCCCTAACAGACACATCCAGCCGTCAGTCGACGTGCCAAACGACATCTCACACCGCCTGTTATCTTTACAGACAAAAACAAACAGAGCGGGTTAAGACCTTTTCTCTACTCAGATAAACCGTGGGCCCACGCACACTGAGGTTAGACACAAAGATGGCTGTCGTCACTAGTCATTTGCACTGGTTTGAGGATTAAATTAATAGGGGAAAAAAAAAAAGCACTGAGCTGAGATTTTTTTAGTTAAAAGGGAAAATTGTTTTAAGTAGCGCAGCAGCTGTAATTAATGTGTACACAAAGAATAATGACTAAAAATTAATTTGATTAACGCGATCATGCAAATGAACCGTTTGAATAGGCGTGCTGAGAACTGTGGCGTGCTTGCACCTTTGGGAAACCTGGCTGTATTTATGAATGAAAAAGCGTGACGCCCAGACGGCGTGCGGAACGGCGCCCGGAGGGGTGGGGGGGACGTGACCAGGGTTTGGTTAGGAAGGCTTAACAAGAAAATTCTTGAAGCATTCATTTTTTTTTTTTCTCTATCTCTTGTTTTACACAATGGAAGGTTTCTAAGATGTTAGTAGCCAATACGTGTTGGCTGTTAATCGCTGGTAATCGGTTTGGGGTGGTGTGTGAGACAGAACAGAGGGCTTCAAGGCATCTTCGAAGGCTTTCGTGTCAAATGAGGATGTTACAGCGGTGATGTCTTCATACACTGACATGAGATCACTTGGCTGATATTTTATTACACTTCAAGTCTTACGCATCCCCATCCCTGAAAGTAAATGACATCCCCTCCGTTCCAGTAATGATGTCATACCCCCCGCCCCCCCCCCCCCCCCCCACCCCCCCATATTCCCAAACACCCTCATCAATCCCGTCCTTCTTCTGCCCGACTCACCGAATTTGCAGTAAGTAATTCTGTTTAGCGTTAAGTGCTCGGGTCAAATTTTTGGCAATTGTAAGCACCCATGAGATCAGACTAATAAAAGCCCAATAAGTCACAGGAGAAATGAACATATTTCTTGGAGCAGAGGGTGGGGCTGGAGGGCTTTGTCAGTCTCCGAGCTGCCAGGTCTAATACAAAGAGCCATTGCTTGGCTTTTTTCCCCCCTTTTTTTTCACGATTAATTACTGATTTGCAAATATTTTCACTCCATGTTTGAAGTGTGAATCATCACGTCCGAGGAGCAGCGATAAGCCCCCGATAATCACACCCGTCCCTCCCCCAGAAACCGGGTCCTTTTTCTTTTTTCCTTTTAATATTGCAAAGGACAAAATTGCTTCGGGAGGATGGTGTATTAGAAGAAGAGCAGTCGAGCCCGGGGGGCACGATTTACACTCAGATGTGAGCAGCATGAGTGCACCTGGTCCAATATCGCACTGACACGGTGACCCTGAAGAAGGCGTGTTGGATTTGGGCCTCTTTCCACCCTAAATCACGCCACGCACACTGATGTGATTCCTCACTCAGACAGCTGTCCAATCACAGCCTTATATCAGGCAGAGGGACACAAACGGAAACGCAAAATAAATGCAGGCTGGGGTCCGTTTCCACTCAAATTCTCAGACTTTAAATAACTTTACCTACCCCACTGGTATTTAGGCAACAAAAAAAACACACACAGTGCTCCCATGAACCCCCCCCCCCCGCCCCACCCCAATCACCACGCCCCGCGGCTGCATCCCAACCCCTCCTTGACCGTGACGATTGCTCCGCCCTGATTTACGAGTTCCAGCCGGCCCACTCCCATGAGGGGTCAGGTGCGCTGCCAATCACGGTGACATATAGCTCTTCACAGAACCAACCGGCGGACAGGGCCGTGATGAGTTAGCACTCCGGTTGTCAGGGCAACGTTTGATGGTTGGAAGGGGGATGGCAGTGAATGCAGAGGAGACTCTAGCTGGCAGCTTGTTCATTAGCCACCAGACAAGGAGCTGCCACTGTACTCCGAGCAGGCATGGAGACGGGCTCATCATTTGCAAGAGTTCTGCTTGCGCCCTTCAGTTTTTTATTTTTTTATTTAACCATGTCATTAGCAAAAGATTCTGACACTAATGGATGCCGTGGGGAAGAATTTAAGTTGCACTAAAGCTTTGTTATTTTTAAATCTTTTTCCAGTACCATTAGCAAGAGGTTAATATTAGCCTGGATTGAACAAGTGCAATAAAAACCCAGTCGTTAGACTTGCCTGAAATCTCTGAGTGTATTCGATTCATAATGTGGAGACAGCCGGAGACACATCCTTAATTTTCACAACTCACTATGGCAGTCAATTCTCTCTCTTCCCTGTCACATAAAATTACACTTTAGATTCTTTCTCCCAGAAGCCAGCCCGTGGGAAAGCTTTGATACCTGAGAGGAAAAACACTCGAACCCATTTACATTCTGCATTTTCCCTTACATCTTACTTCTTTCTTTCATTAGGAGGGGTGTGTGTGTGTGTGCGTGGTTGTGTGTCATGCATTTTGTTTTACATTTTGTGTTGCTTTACTGTGCTCACTCACATCCATCAGTGCGCAATTACCCAAAGGCTCTTTTTCCCTTATACGAAGTGAATAATTCATTTGTTTTATGAATACTTTATTTGTTTGCTAATTATTTTTCAATGTATTGATTTGTTTTGTTGTGCCACTTCCAGCACTCATCATTCACTCCTTTATTTGATTTGATTTCTTTTCATTAGATTTATATGACTCATTACACAACCCACTATTTGACGGACAGCTATGGATCCGGTTGCCAAAGGTAATATGAGTGAATCCCTCTCAGCAATACACTGTGATCTCTCCTTCTCCTCTCCCTTTTCCTCATCCACATATACGCCCTTAACTGCACTCTGAACATGTCCTGAAACTCTAACCCAGCCTTTTCCAGCCTTGAATACTCCTACTGTGGCAACAAATGCACTTTTTGAATAAACTTTCCTGTCATCTTTACTTTACTTCTGGCCTTTGAGTTCATTCCATTTGTGCAGAATTGAATGAACTTTGGTATTAATATAAGCCCAAATAAAGGTATGCCAGCATGATCTACGATAACCTCTGTCTGTGTAGCATCAAAGAAAGTTAGCAGAACCTGACCACCATCACTGCTTGCAGCTGTCAACCTGTCGCATTCTCTGCTGCCTTCCAGGTGGAGAAGAACGAGGAGGCCGACCAGAAGATCGAACAGGATGGCACCCCCAACAAACCTGAGGACAAGGCCCATAAGGCTGCCACCAAAATACAGGCTAGCTTCCGTGGACACATAACTCGGAAAAAGATGAAAGACGGAGAGGAGGAGAAGGACGGCGACAGTCCCGCCGCCGAAAACGAGGCGACGGATGGAGGAGAGGAGACAAAGAAGGTCGAGGGAGAGGAGGCGCCCGCCAAGCAGGATGAGGTCAAAGCGGAGGAGGAGGCCAAGAAAGAGGAGGAGGAGACAAACCAAGCCAAAAGCCCAGCGGCGGACAAGCCGGCCAACTCCCCGGCAGCTGCCGCCGCCGCCCCGTCTCCCGTGGCGGCGGCCCCGGCCGCCACGGCGCCCTCCGAGCCGAAGGTGGAGGAGCAGGCCGCGGAGAAACCCAAAGAGGTGGAGGCTCCGGCGGCGGCGGCCAAGAGTCCCACCGCCGCCACGGCCGAGGACAAGAAGGAGGAGGAGAAGAGCGAGGAGAAGAAGAAGGAGGAGGAGGCCAGACAAGCCGACGTGCCTGCTGCTGTCAGTCCGACAGCCGAGAAGGAGGAGCCTAACCAAACAAAAGATAAACAAGGTACACCGGGTCACCGCTGAGCTCTGTTTAGACGGGGACGAGCACGTTCTGAGCGCCTTTAAATCACACACTAGGATGCGCACGTGTTTTTTCAGGGGCAGCGGGTTCAGAGACAAAAAATAACTCTAGTCGCTTCCTACAATGAAAAAGCAATTACTCACTGTAAACATCAAATAAAGATGAGCCGGTAGGCTTTTACAAAGTCTGCTTGGCAGCCACCACAGGACATAACTGTTTGCTGAGTGTTTTTGGATTTAAAGATCTCTGGCAGGGCTCCGACGTTCGCCGGTTAACACAGGGACCCAGCTCAAAATTACATTAGACAGCCTCGAATCCCATCATCTGCTTGATGGAGACTCCGTACCGACGAGGAAGGAATTAGCACAGAAATGCGGGCGAAGAAATGAGGAGTGCTGCGTGTGAGTGCTCACAACCACACTGTGATAGTGTTATCTCGGGACGGATCAGATTTATTGCTAGGAAGCAATGCTGTGTGTTGTTTGCCCTAATGAGAAATCAGCATGCTCAGTGAGAAGTTAAGGGTGATGAACATCTCAGATGGCTTCCTATGACTTTGATAATAGCAGAGTCCACACAATAGCCTCTTATTACTCAATTATTACCCAGCTATCACTCAAACCGAAACATAAACAGCCCATAAAAAAACACCTCTCGCAAATCCCAGCGTGTTAAATAAATGATGACTTCCCTGATGTTTGGACTTCCCAAACAGAGCGCAGTACAACTTCCAGGTTACATGTAAGTGGGGAGAAAAAAAAACACTATCCAAGATATTCTTGACACGAACTTGTATATCTGGTCCAAGGACTCAGGTCCACGGAGCATGCTCAGTCTGAAGTTGGCCGGGAATGTGAGTTGGAAAAACGCACACACTAACAAGAGGAACTACACAGAAACTAGGTCACCTAGGCAGCTCTGTCTCCCTGTTGTCATAGTTACCACCTCAATGGGATAGCTGGCCTGCATGGAGCAGAGCGGGTATAACAGGTGCTCTGATTTAAATGAATGATTAATGATCCTTACTGGTCAGGATCCACACTGAGAAAGTCTGTCATAAACAAACACAACCACACAAAGAAGTGCTAATTAAGACTCCACCGCTGGCAACAGCCTGCCTGAGTGAGTAACCTGGCTCAGAGAGCAAATGAATATTTATCATTAGTGAATCACTTGGTTAGGCGAATAGTTATGCTCATGTATTTACACGGGACTACATGCATGAGAACACCAGATCCGAAAGGATGGGGGTATCCATTACTGGCAAAATTCCGCTATTCTCTCTCTTGAGAATACTCCTGATTCACTGCAGGCCTTTTAAAAACAAGTTCTCGCTGTCACAAAAGCAGCAGAGAGTTATAAAATGTGAGCCAGAGCTCTTTTATTTTTACCAAGCGACTCCTTGGAAACGGGGATTTTTACAAGCCGAGAACAACTGTGAGACTTTTGAGATTATAGTCGGGGATCAAAGTGAGATTATTGTCAGGGATTGGGGAGAGCTGTGGAGAGAAGCGGTCAAAACGACTTGCAGTAACAAGCTGGACACTGTACCTTCAGAAGAACCCGTATTCCACCACAGGTTGTCCAGAAGTGTAATGAGCAACAAGTTTATTTTACGAACTGGAGCCAATGTGATGCCACCTTTTCTAGAACAATACAAATGATTATGACAGCAGATATGCCCAAGGTTGTAAATATATATAAAAACTAGTTGAGTAGAGGATGTCCATGCAAAGAAAGTGGTGAGAACCCTTACCGGAATTTCTCCAACTTCAGGGCATTTGCAGTTTACTGAGTAAGACACTAGACACACATTTATAGTGAGCTAGCTCAGAAAAAAGAGCTGAGAAGTCGTGTCCTTTTTTATTTTTGGCAGGCCAGATCAGTAAATATGTCTCCTTTCCCACAACGCATCCGTCTTCCTAAAATACAGGCATAAAGCACTTCAGACAAGCAAGTATGTGTTTTTTTTTTTAATGCACATTAGTGGAAGTATATTCCATCATGTTTTAAAAAAAAGCTATTTACAGAAAGAGCACAGCAAAGTTTGAATGTAATCTTGATAGCAGTCAAAATAAGTGCAGTCCTTATAAATGATGTCCCTTCAGTAATTGAAGTACCTCAACCATAATAGAGAAATACAGAATTTCTTGTAAAGTCTATGTATTGAGAAGATTTGAATTATGGAGCAGAAAGTGTGGCATAAGGATCTAGAGGAGAGAATTCGGACCCGTTCTAATCTATAAACCATTTTTATTTATTTATTTATTTTTTTACCATTGCAATCTTAACCTAGCCTGTCAGTCAGAAACTAAATTAGAGTGGGAAAACTAGAACTGATGTCAGAGCAGCCGAAGATGACGGGCTTCTGCTCGGTAAATTGGATGAAAATTGTGTTCCATTGAAACAGTTCAGCAGCCACGCAGGGGGACATTCTTGATTCTTCACACCAGCTAACTGGCCAATTACCTCTTACCTGGAAGTCTGCTGTGACTCACGCCGTCTCGTGTCGCACACACACTCACACATTAGTGCTGGCACTCGCACACACGCGATTGCCCCAATTCTACCCACACATACACAAACATGCACTTCATCCCCTGTCTCCAATGGAATGATGTCATCCCCAGATGGGTTTTTTTTGCTTTCTTTTAGATCATGAGATCATCTGGGTGTGACATCACTGCACTGAGAGCGCTTGAGTAAAAGGACTCGTCTGAGACAATAAAAGTCAAGAGCCATTGCTCTAGATGTACTGTATGACGAACTATTCGAGAATATTTTTCAAGACAAATTTTATTAGCCGCAGTAAAGGATGAGGCAATATCACATGGCGATTTGCGCCATGTGATGGCTTTATGGAGTGGTATTGGTCCTAATTCAGCAGTTCCTACCACTGTGTAAGCCACAGCTGGATGATGCTATAATACCACATCACAGATTATGAGGTGTGACAGGCCCAGACACTGCTGTTGGCATAGTGATGTCAATTCCAAGGTTTTATGAGCCCAGGAGGAGCACTTCATTTATTTATTATTTACAACATGTAGCATTTTGAGACATTAGAATGTATTTCCAGAGTAATAGAGCTCCTGACTGTTGATTACATTATCTAGACTATATGGAATTTGAATACTTTTTCTGTATATTTTTTCCCCATTTGCTTTGGGAATGCTTTATGCTTTTCTTTTGTAACATTGAAGATACTATGAGGCTAAATAATGAAAATATGAAAAACTGAACATGTTTGATGTCTCAAAGAGCTATATAATTCCAGTTATATATCCAATATAAGTACCAGAACTTAAGTTTCTTCTTCTCTTTCCTTCCAAATCATATTTCTGTTTTCTCCTCCCCTTTTTTAATCTCTTCAATCTTTTCTTTTCTCCCTATCCTTGATTCCCATTTGTTTTCCACCCTTTGCTCTGTCCTCAAAACAGATGCTGCAGCGGAGTCAAAAGCAGAGGAGGCCGCCCCAGCAGGAGGGGCAGCGGAGGCCACCGAGTCCAAGGACGACTAAGGCAACGTCTAACCCCATGAAAGCAGAATTAAGAATATGAAGCAAAACACAGAAATGAAAATCTAAAAAGGTTGCTCCTTTTGCCTCCCCATTGAGGAGGCAGTCCGTTTCTATTTGTTTGTCATTTTTTGTGTGGCAATGATTTTCTCATGTTGGGGGAGTTTCCAGCATGACGTTTTTTGGCTCAAGCTAATACTACGAGGAGGGGGATGTCGATCACGACGTAGACGATGAAATGATTGTTACCCTGATGACGAGGCGGGAGACTTCATTTGGTATATCTTCACTATCTAATGTATGTAAATCATCTGACGTAGTGACTGCTCCCAACTGGATGTGCACACATTTAAAATGCATCGCCGATGCGTCATACTTGCATTGGAATGCACTTTTTCCAAACGCACGTTGCAAATAAAATCCGTTCTGCAAACGCACGCACAAAAACAAGCAGGTTTTAAAATGCAACTCCGGTTTTCAACACAACACGAGTGTATTGAGAACATAGCAAAAAATAATAAATAGATAAAAATGAAATAATGCACTGACACATCAGATGGTTAATAGAATGTAAACTTAAATGTGTGACATATCCAGTTGGTCAGCTTTTTCCAGAATCCATAAATAGTATATAGAACATGACTATTACTCTCCTTATTCTGCTTGAGTAACTCAAGCTTGGTTTACACCCCTTTTACTACTTATACAGCAAAGGACCTGTTGCCATTTAAATCGTATAATAAACTATAGAAATAAACTATAGTATTAATGTAACTGACTCTTAAATATAACGATTTGTCAAGCAAACGTGAGAACAGTAGCATGAACCATCGAACCTGATGCATGATGGGAACTCTCCCTATGAGAGGAACTTCTTCGCAGACACCAAAACTTAAGAGGTGTGGCGGCTTCTTTTTGATGTCTTCAGTGTTGTTATGACAGTTTATATGAATTGGAAAATTACTCTTACACTGATGTTACAGGAAAAAAAAGAAAAAGAAAAAAATCTTTAAAGAAAAATCCAACAAGTGAGCGAAGGTGAAAAATTCTTTTCCTATGTTCCAGTGAGTGCAATGTCCAGTTTCAACCTTATCAAGGAGTTCCAACTTGTGAGAAAAAATGTGAAAAAAATAAAAATGGTTTTCATGTCTGTTTTCAAAAATAAAGCAAATGTGCCAATTACCATCATACATTGTGGTGTTTCTTTAAAGCTCGAGGTTGATAATGAATGGATGCCTTCCTATAAGATGCCCTTGCTTACAAATATTACCGACTACAAATTCAAGAGGTCGAAAACCATACATGACAGTTATGGGCATAATTACATTTCTTTAATAAAAGTACATGTCTTTAATAACTGTACTTTGACTCCCAATTGGGAATTGCTGCACCGAGTGGCAGTGTAACATACACATGAACAGGTTATATCACATAAAGTTTATGGAAAATGTGCATCCATATGAAATTTTAATTGCATATATTCATGCTTTTTGTCCAACAACAAAAGTCTTATGAGATGACAGGCTGCCTTTATAACTTGGATTCCCCCGACCAATTGATTTGTTGTCTTGGATTTACAACCACATCCTCTTAACAAATGGGTGAAATTACCTTGGAAAATGATAGAATTGCCTCTATTTTTTCTGCTGGTGTAGTTATAGATTTAGCTTCCAATCTATCAAACTGAGTACTAATCAATCAAACTGAGTAATAACCAATCAGAATCAGCTCTAATCAATCCAAATGAGCACTTTTCAACTCTCCTTTTTGACCATGTTGATACTTTTAACACTATTTTTGTGAAATGTTCACAAAGTCTAAGTCACTAAGCCTAGCCTCCTGTTTGACTATCAAGATAGTGTTTTTAAAGTTTGCAAAGAATTGTACAGAGAGAAATCTTTGTTAGACTTTTGGACAAATACCAGCAGGTGTCCTGTGGTGTGTGTCTGTGTTACTAAAAGGCAGCAGCAAGATTTCAGTAGTATCTTTATGAATATTTTTTAAAAAGGCTTTAGTTAAGTAAGATTCAAGGTGTGATTATAGTTAGGTTAGTTATAGTTAGTTGTCATTATGAGCTGTAACATAAACTCATGAAACATAATCTCATGTAACATAAACGTGTTACATGAGCTCAACTGTACAGAATGTGCTAAATAACTCTTTATCTCTGAGGCGTTCCTTTATTAGCATTCAGCACCAAGCTTTTTCCTGGCATCAAATTCAATCCGAGCATCACTGATTCTTTGATGAAGTGGCTTATGACTTTTTCCATAATTTTTGGTAAGTTAATAAGTTATTGAATAAAAATGTCATTGATAAACATGGAAGGATTTACTAGTGCAACAACACATTGTCAGAAGGGAAAAACAAACCAATCTCTTGACGGTGTAATACCAGCTCACAAAACTGACCCACTCAGACTGTAGGATGGATTTCATTACATTCTCCCAGTCTTAAAATGTGTATTTAGTGTTCACGTTTTAGTTTAAATTTCAGTAGCTATAGGATGTAGCTGGTACCTCCTCATGTAAAAGCTATTACTGCAATAGTGGGGTTAGTCCATAGAGGAAATTGGTGAAATTCAATTCTGTTTATATAATGCAATATACGGATGATCACAAATCTTGGCTCAGTGGAACATTGAGTTAATAAAAGATGCAGCAGGGTCTGAGCGAGACATTCAAGGCTCATTAAAAATGAACAAAAATGACTACCACCATGAGGTCATAGGCATTGGTGTTTATGCCGTTTAACGCCAGCGCCAATCAGACAGAGGTCAATACTCATTTCTTTAACAAAATTGATCTTAACCCGTTTATTCTTTTTCCACCATATGTTTGTGTGTGTGTCTGGGTGAAAACTGAAGCATGAAAGGTTTTACCACGCATGAAAAGGAACATAAGGATTTGCTACTTAGATAAATTCATAACTTATTTTATCCCTGCTCGAGGTGACTATTCTCAGTTTAAACTCCATCATTACATTTTTCCAGAAGAAAGGTCAAAGATTTGTTTGTCTTGGACATCAAGGCAACCATTAGCTTGTGTCAGGCAATGGTTGAAATAGTCCTTTCTTAAAAATGTGGTCTGGTATGACATCTAGAGGTAAGATTTATTATTGCAGCTCTTTCTTTGGTGACACATAATAAGGGCTCAAATTTAAGGCATTGGATGATAACTGTATTAATGATAGCTGAAAGCACAGAAATATCTCAGGACAGATCATATAACAATACATATATTAATTTATTTGGTTGTTACATGAGCGACCAACACAACAGTACCATTCCGATTCTGTGTGTCCTTGAGCTATCTCAAAAAAGAAAAGAGAAAAGAAAAAGAGGATAATTGCTCCAACATCTCGAATCACATTCAAATACAGAGCACTGACTTGGAACAACTTTATTTTGTCAACACTTTCTCATATACCTTTAATACATTTCACATGTTTTAAAGAAACTGCAATGTCCTTTTGCTGTTATAAAGAAGAAAAACAGACAAATCTGGGGTATTTCTGCAGCAGTATCCACCACTGTTTCCAATTTTCCAGTGACAAAGGAAGGGCAGTACAAACTGTTTTAAGTCATTAAATCGTCCAGTTGTATAAACTTGACCTCATGGGATTTCTGATGTTCGACATTCTACCGTAGAAACATATTTCTGTATGTACACAAAGAAGGAAAGGAAGAAGGATCTAAACTTAAAACTGAAGGTTAACACGGTATCCTTTGCTAAAAGGAGAGACGGTGGTTAGCCGCCAAGCCAACTTTTTTAAAATCCCACACGAAAGTCACTTCGGCTCAGGTAAAATCGCCATCTTACAGAATTAGAGGTTTCACACAACACACACGTAAGCCGCTTTTATACAGTGAAGCAAGGGGGCTGTACCTACAGTTTTCAGCAGATCTCCTGGTGGCTTTTCAGGAGTTGGTGCCGTGTCCATGGGCTGGATGTTGGTACGTATGACTAATGGGAGGACAGCTATACTCATATCGTCATGGCCGTCATGGCTTTTACATCAGCGGTCTTATATAAATTTGCACTTAGAAACTAGTTTTAACCTGCGAGCTGAGCCTCGTGTTATCGCCCAAATGGTTACGGCTCACACAATAACTCACTTTAGCATCCCTTTTATCAAAGCATCTCCTTCACTCGGCTCTCCTTTATGCAACAGCCTTGCATCCTACAGCGGCAGTGAATGGCGAGGACACTGGGAAGGTTGTTGACCCCGCTCGGGCAGAAGGCCAGACTCCCTCGGCAAATAACACAAAGACAAGCTAAAGAGAACAGAAAAAAAGGCAAAAATAAATCAGAAGTCTGCCCATCTGCCAAAGACTGGCCCGAGCTCAGCCTTGGGATTTTTTTTCCCCTTCGGTTCTGTTTTTCGAGGGCAACAAACGGCGAGGTGCGCAGACCTAGTTGAGTGGGCTGGCAGAGCGGGGGCATATCACGAGCTACAGTTTTAATCTCGCCTCGCTGCGGTTGGCGGTTTGCTGGAGAGCGCCGGGCACTGCAGGAAAACACTGGTGCTGAAGTAAGTGCACAAACAAAAAAGGCGAAACAAAAAAAGACGGCAAACAAATGGCATGGATCCCATCAGGAGTCAGTTGGAGTTTTACGTAGTGAGTAACTTTTCAAAAGGCATGTACAAGAGGAGGAATAAAGAAAATAAAAAAAACAAGCAGCTGTTTTTTCCCCCATCTACATGGAAGCATGGAAGCCTTATCAATATTAGACTTTTTGTTTTGTTTTCCTCATCATGATAAACTTTATATCATAAATAAAGTTAGTCCGTTTTAATGCCAATTAATCCTGATTTTGAAATTTCTCATTAGATTAATGAGATTGGGACACAATATATAACCTGTTGTCATGAGTAAGTACATATTACCTGTTAACTTAACAGGATAGTTACATGATTACTTATTACAATAATAAAAGAACTTGGCTGTTCCAAGATGTGGACTCTCGGCTTCCGTACATTCGAACCTCAGGAGTCTGATTGTGGGATTCCGTTTGTGCTGTGGCCAGCAGAGCTGGCACAAACTTCACTGCCACACAACCAAATCCCCTCTGAAACATTGATGGGTAGCTATACATTTTATATAGCTTCATGATACTTGATACATATCAACATTCAGATGACCCATTTATCCATTGAGTCCAGGCAGAAATTAAATCAGCGATCAGTTAAAGCATTTGAAAAGCCGTGACAGAAACTGAGTCGTGGGACATGGAACTTTATTAAAAATGGCCGTTAGCACACCGACCCTGAAGGCCATGGAGAAGAATCACATTTAATATGAATTCATTTGCTGCTTTCACTTATTTTTCGAGATAAGCATTCTCAATAGTCATGCCAGCCAGCATTGTCTCGTCTCAAGGATTTGCACTGTAACAATAACACTAAACTCAGAGAGCTATCTGCTTTGTATGCTAGGCTTTCTTAACACAGCTGCACGGCTTCGCCCCTCAAGAAAATTCATATCGGACTTAGAAACATGGACACAGAAAGTGTATTTTTTTTGTATTTAAGGACATTTGATTTATGTGTACAGTATAAATACAGACAACTAAAATGAACGAGGAAAAGATGGAAAACAAATATAATATATAATCATTTTTTTTATATACCATTTCATATTAAAACACGTGTATTTTTGAGAAAGAGAGAAAACTAAAAGGTAAGTCATTCATTGGTGTCATACATTTCTTTTTTTCTCATCAAATTCCAGCTGTAGAGCAGAAGGATCCTAAAACTCATTAACTAAGAGCGTACACTGCAACAATGTTCCGGTTCCTGCTGTTACAGCGGGACAACAGGTCGTCTCGTTGTAGAGAAATACAAAATTTGACTATATGTACAGTACGCATCACTTGAACTTACTGTGAGTTTCTTTTTTCGTGAGTCCATTTGCAAAAAAAAAAAGAAAAAAAAAAGAAAAACAAAAAGCAAAGAAAAGAGAAGAGAAATACTTGTTTTTTTCCCCTGTTTTTGGAATAAAGACGAAAGCTGCAAAGCCACTGAATGAGGATGCAGGTATCTATACTCAGATAATCTATTTTCCTCTGAGGCTTATAATATAGAATCAAGCTGTTTCATTTTGCTGCATCCTCGATTTTAGGGCTCGACTGCAACAGCGGCCCCAAAATGTCTGGCTGGGTTATGCTCTACATCTGTGTGTCAGCCTAGAAGCATCATGTTATGGACTTACAGACGCATATACCAAACTCTAATCTCGTTATAAAATCATCTGTGGCGGCTTTCCTTTGATTTCTGTACTAGTTAGATTCAAATATCTGTGTATACTTGGCAGATACTTTTGAGAGCTGCTCATTAATGCACTGCTTGAACACACAGTTAGATCTACACTTCACATGAACTGAACACATCCATGGGGGAAGGAGGAAATATAAGTCATGTATTTAGTGCTCTAAGGACAGGTGATTGTTGGCATCCCCACTTCTGGGGTGCCTCTGTTGTCATTTCCGTAAGGAAGAAAAAAAAAGAGGAAGAAATACATCAAATTCCAAGCCCGGTCCAAACCCGATGACGAGATATAGCAGAGACAATAGAAGTGCATACAAATCAAAAAGAACAATACAATTCTTTAAAAGAGCACTGTTTGCTTTATCTGTCCTTCATTTCACTGTTTTTTTTTCTTCTGCTTGCTGCTGTTGTTCCTAAAACATTTGACTCCTAACCCATCGCTTTTTACCATTTCTGTAAGCGGTGCTCGAGAGCACAGAAGGTTTTTCGTAACATGATGCAAACAGTCTGAGGAAGGGGGGGGGGGGGGGGGGGGGGGGGGGGGGGCGCCGGGAGGGGGGAGAGAGGCGGTCAAGTTGGTAATAAGGAATCGATAAGGATGCCGGTGAGTCGGAGAGAGGAAGGAGGGGCGGAAGAAGGGAAGGAGGGGAAGGCCAGGTGGGATGAGAAGAAGAGGAAAAACAGAGGGCGAGTGGTATTAACACTTGAAGAAAAGGAAGGCGATGGAGGCCAGCAGGAGCCACAGTGATTGAGATACGCAGGCAGAGCCGTTGATGTCTCGACCTGTTCCGGGTCCTGAAATGCAGCAAAAGTGAGAGCGTAAGAGAGAGATATGTATTAGATCTCTGCTAAACCTGTACACATCCCCTCTTATGATCCTTGACTTTTCATACAGACGGTCACAGAGTTTCTGGAGACCACTTTAGTCTACTTAGTTGGGATGAATCGGCTAACCGGTCAGTTTTCACCTTTAATGGGACTCACTATCCTTCCTCATGAGAGGGATAACTTAGAAGTTACAGTGAGTCACGTCATATCTGTGTTCAGTCACATTCAAAGGATTGAATTCAAAGTATTGAATGTGACCCAAAAGCATATTTTATATGTATTTACACGCATCGAAGACACACACACTGACTCAGCATCTGCCTCCAGCCAGACACTTGCGATCAATAAACAGACTCAGAAACAGTTTAAATTCATCTGCCACCATCTGTTTGAATGCTGATAGACTAGATAGTTGACCTAGTCCAAATATGTTTCCTCGCATTGTCTAGATTTTTGCATCTTTTTCTAACCATCCAGCATATCTGAGGTTTCTGTTACCACGGTTAAGGAAACATGCAGTATACCTCTGTGTGCGTGTGTGTGAGGTTAGTTTAGGTTTTGTGGTCTTTAATAATTTCATCCAATGTATATTCTCCATGCACCGGGTTCTGGTTCTGAGCTGTAAATGCTTGCAGACTGTAAGCGGTCTTTTGGGGACATCTAGTGGCCACGTCATACCAACACTGGGCCCGATCCCAATTCAAGCCTCAGAGCAGATGTTCCTAGAGGACATGAGTACCTCATCAAAATAATCATAGTAATGATTCCAGACTTTTGGATTTATGTCAATATTCTGTGCATGAGTCATTTTATCTGCTTTTCTCACCACATAATATTGCTGCAAATTATAATGTAGAGAGTTTGTTTATTTCTCTGTCATGCTTTTCTAAACACTAATCAAAAATCAGAAAGCAATACTTGGCTGTTCCATGTTGAGTTCTCGCAGAAAAAAAATAAAATTCTGTGGCATTATACTTGTGGTGTTATACAGCAGGGATTTATCAGCCCGGGCTTAATTTGGCTGTGCCTCTGTGCCCCATTTACATTGTTTCTCAGTTTTAAAATGCTGGCAGAGACGACAGATTTCCACAGAGCGCAGTCTTTGCTCATTATTAGTCTATATTACCAATGTCGCAGCTTGTTCAGAGTGGTTAGTTAAGAGTGCTTCTAATAGTTTCTCACAGCACTGAATAGACTTAACTGAAGCAAAGCTATTAAATGGTCTTTTCAGAGTTTAAGTACCTGATGTAACTGACAGCCAGGAAACATTTTAACTTTTTAAAAGCCCTTGTTTAGCCCTTGAGGGGGTGAAATCAAAGGTGAAGCAGTAATGTTTATATCCCAAATCTGAAAAAAACATTGAGGGGGTTTCTCTAATCTGAGTTTCATGATGCAGCAGGGTAGTATTACTCTAACCCGACCCCTAAGACGGCAGTTTGCAGTATCAGCAATGGTAGAAGGCCACCATGCTAGCCAGCTGTGTAGTTAGCTATTAGCATGCTAAGTGCTAAGTCTTCTTCCTTCTTTTAAAGAATCGATAACTGGAGGTCTGAATTAGCTAAACCTGGGCTGCCCATGTAAGCAGTAATAAATTGGCTTCATTTAGTGAGTAGCCAACATGAAAGGTGCTCTTATGCTCAGCGAATTAAAGGGCTAAGCTAACAGTCTCACAATGAAGTTGTAGCAATGGGGTGAGCGCACATTGTCAGCTGAGGAAGTCACCCATGGTCAGATCAATTTTTTGAGGGGGTATGAGCAGAATTCCAATATCAAGACTAATTTTTAGAGGAAAGACTCATGACAAACTACCAGCTGATTGATTTTGAGGAAAGTGACATTGAGACAAAACTGAGGACTTGCTTATTAAACAGACTAACAGATACGAGGTTTCACACATGCCACGCAACTCTAATTGGCAAACACTGATTGTTCAGAGTTTGATGTTGGCCAAAACATTTATCTATCATTTCACTTATATGGGCAGGTGGTTTGCACCATCACCTCACAGCAAGAAGGTTCTGGGTTCGAGTCCCTGGGGTACCAGGAACTTTCTGTGTGGAGTTTGCATGTTCTGCGTGGGTTCTCTCTGGGTTCTCTGGTTTCCCCCCACCGTCCAAAAACCTGCATGTTAGTTTGATTGGACATTCCAAATTGCCCTTAGGAGTGGTTGTGAGTGCTAAACTATAACTTTTTTACATTTGTAGTTTACCATAATATAGTTATAACAGTTTTGCTCAGCCTGAGAGTTTTTATTTAATCCTGTATGCTAATTCAAATCAAAGCTCAAAGACCAGAAACTGTAGTACTGGATTCTGCATATATTTAGAATCTTCAAATGAAAAAGGCACGATCTTTATGAAGACTTTATGTGCTGTACAAACAACGATTAGCTGACAAGACTTTGAGTTTGACATTGACAGTAGTTAAGACCTTTAAATCTTTCTGTACTTTCAGATGTCACCTTCCCTCTCATGCCATATGTCCACGTTTCTGCAAGACTTCTGTTAACTGACTCCTGCGCAGAGATGAGAACATCCCAGCTGCCAAATGACTAACAGTAATACACACAGAGGCTTTACTTTTCATCTTAGCTTAGCAGTTGTTCAGCTGTAGAGCTTAAAGCAAAGCACAAAAAATAATTATAAAAAAATCCAATGAGTTTCTTCCCCGCTGAGTTTCGGTGATTCAATGGGAACTGACTTTAAAGGAATTAACATTTCAAAGTCACTCACTTTCACATTGAAACTGGCAAGTGTTGGCTTGATGGATTTAATACTATACATGATACATGTTTAAACCTTGGTGTCATGATGATATTAAAATTCTTACAATTTCTGTCCAGTACATATGTGTTTGCAATATATAATATACATTGTTGATCAACTTGTGTGTACCAGATGGCAGTAGAATGAATACTCACTATAGAGAAAAAGGCTGGCACTCTGGACGCCCAGTCGGTTTGAGGCCACACAGGTGTAGTTCCCATAATCCTCCTCAGTGACATTGGCAATCATGAGAATGGTGGTAGTTCCAAGAATCTGGATGTTGATACCTTGGTTGTTGGACAGCCTAGAGAGATAGTGAGAATAGCAGTCCTTGAGCTATGGAGACGCTTATTGAAAAGGTTTGTAAGAGTTGTAAAAAAAAAAAGTTTTGAAAGGGAAAACTTCCATTATAAGTAGTCATCAAAATGTTTTACTAAAGTAGTTTACTGAGCTTGGCTTTTTACTGAAAATGTAGCCATAACCAACCTCTAAAGATAGAACTTTTCATCAGGCTTTCAGCCACATATCAAACAAGATTCAGCTCTTTATAAACGGGGTGTGAATGCAACTGCCACAGGACTTATTTATTTTCTACAAAAAACAACAAAATTAAACACCATAATAACACATTACTATGAGAAACACCTGACTTTCAGTTTTTTTTCTTCTATGTATACACAAAATCCTTGAAGAACTCTATGTGTATTGCTGGACATGAGAACAGATTTTTGGATAAAACTGTTACCTCTGCCATTACTTTCCTTTCTCATGTGGCTTGGAAACACATGGAAGAATTGCCTTACATCAACAGTTCAAATGTCATTCTTCCTGATCATTCTGAAATATTTTGGCTGTTTTTCGTTTGTTTTGATGGTGTTTAATCTCCTCTCACACTGTCACAATAGTAAGTTGAGCAATGAGGGACATTACAATTGTTATATTTGCACTAGTGGCAATTTTTTCATCTTCTTTTGATTTTGCAAATCCATTCGTGATATAAAGATTTCAATTTCTTCTAAGGAGCTATTAAAAGGAGATTCTGTATCCTTTTTGATAAATCTTATAGTTAGCGATGGTTTGGGTAATCCGGAAACACCCCAGACATAGTTATGCCTTTTAGGCCCAGACTGCTGGAAGACCTCCCATGATGCACCTCTACTCCCCTTTTCCACGTACATATGAAATTATTGTTTTTATTAACTTATCTTTATTATTGTTTTTCCTCTTTTTCAACAGGTATCCCTTGGGTGTTTTCTATTAAGCACCCTAAGTTTGGTTGTGCCAGGGGTGTCTTCCAGGTATAAGGAAGTTTTTTCTTTCCACAGTCACCCTCAAAATGGAGGTCCGCATCACGGTGAAGTTTCACTGCAATCGGTTTCCTTAGATAGAAACCTTCTTTTCAAAATCTGCATTCTTTGAATTTTATCATTATTTGGTTTTAATTGTAATGTCTCTATGAAGTCTCCAGAGATGGAATTGGTTGTGGATCAAACTCTATCAGTAAACTTTTATTGAAATTGAACTGGGTTGTTGTATTCTTGCATTCTTTTTGTTTCTTCAATTTTATATATTTTTGGGGGGCTGTTCAAAGAAGGAAAATCAACTTTATCATCTTTCCAGATAAATGCCCAAACTGCCCCCCCCCCCCGACACCCACACAAACACACACTTTTGGATTCAGAATTCAGAATTTGCATGCTGCTAAATTCCAGCCTCATACGGATCATCTAATCAATTATGTCAATTTTGCAACCTTGAAGCCAGTTTACAGCAAATGTATGAATCAAATGTGCTGACTCAAACTGTATCACCTCACTCATGAACCCTTCCTTACATCATCAATCCCAAATGAAGCTCTTAATAAAAATGTACTCATAACGGATTCTGCTTGTTAAGGGCTGATTGAGACCTTTCGCATCGCCAGCGAGGTGAAGTTCATTCAAGGCGCCTCGACTTAATCCCGCTTAAGTCTGGGTAATTGCTAATCGGAATTTGAGCAGGGGAGGGAGACGTTTGTGCTGACACACGCTTGGCTTTTAGAGCGTATTAACATAAAGAGGGAAACTCACATCATAGCGCAGCATAATTTGGCTCGTGGGGGAGTGCGGGAACTTGATAAAGTGCTGAGGTTCTTCCCACAGGGACACCTTGAGAACAGAGCACAGCGCCTGTGCTGGAGAGCCAAAGAGAGAGACCGAAGAGAGGCCAAGAGGGTCCCCGCTCTATCTGAAAGCAGAACCCTTCCCCCCTGATAAGGCCAGCAGCCGATATATCCTCCAGTGTGCCTTCATGAGAAGTGACTGCACTATTAAAAAGGCCCCTAAGTCCACGCTCGGCACAGAGAAAAAACTGAGAAACCCAGATAATACGGGGCATTGCAGAGGGAGCTGAGACCGAGGGCTATTTTCACAACAGATTACAGTCCATGATAGGAAAGCGGCGGCAGGGGAGTAAACTGACCCAAACAGGTCAAAAAGAGACAGGGCATTCTTTTGTTTTCAGAGCAAAGCTTTCTGGGTTTGGCTTTAATTAAGCAGAAAACAGGAGAAAAAAGAGCAGCAAACTAAATCTCCGGGCCAATGGCTGCCTTTTTCTTGGAGCCTGCATTAATTGAGATAAAAGTTTCCGCTGTCCATTCGAACTTTTAATGCGTTGGCAGCCGCAAATCCGCAGCCTCCAACATCCCTCACTTCTGGTCTCGAGTCTATCCTGAAATATCCCAGAGTGTGTGCCAGCTTCTTCATCTGGCACAATAGCCTGGAACAGATCATCGGAGAAGTTGGCAGAAATGATGCTTGTCTACCTTTCATAGGGGGGCATGTGTGTTTTTTTAAGCGATCTCGCCATTAGCTTGAAGCCTTTGCCACAGGAAGAGGGCAGCAGAGCTCCGCTGGATGCCTCCCGCGGAGCCTCCGTGCCATGTTATAAAACCCCACTCTGAAATGATTTGACCCCTCAATTTAGAGGAGGGCGTGCTGCGGTTTCGGGGCCGGCTATGGATGAAAAGGCCGGAGAAAATCATCAGATGGGCCGCGTGTGTGAGCATCGCAAGTAGGTTAACACTGTCGGGGGAAAGTGACAGGCATGTTATGATTCAAGACCGATGATAAATGTAATCAAGTGGAGAGTCCTGCCGAGACTTGTAACCCAGAGATGATTGAAAATGGCCCGGCGGTTGTGACAGCCAGGCATCAGCTGACAAAACAACCGCCATATCTGTCTGTCACGTTGCATGACAGCTCTATTTGGAGTTCTTCCCCCGTTGGAAGCAGTAGTGAATGTCTTTAAAAAACATTTGGTCCTAATGGATTCAATACTCTAATGAATGACTGGGCCGTATTCTATGTGCGCGCACACTTCTCTGTAAAGGATTAAGAGTGCAGGTTGATTTAAAAAACAAATTTAACTGGTTGAGACGGAACAACTAGCACTGCATGATTTACGGGTTCATTTCGAATTCCACGAACGGGCGCACAAACGTAGAAGGGGAGAATCTTGACATCCATAGTTGAAATCTAGCTGCTTTTAAGAAGTCGCCAAGGCTGGTGAAGTAAATTGCATCGTTATGTGCTGTGAACTTCCAGATCCCTGAAAGTCAGAGATGCTATGATGTTATGATTCATTTATGTTTTAAAGTGTGAGTGGGTTTTTTATTGCCTGAGGAGCTCCAAGACTTCATGAGACTGATTGAAGGTGGATATGCGCAGATGAAGGTGAGTTAAGCCGCTCTGCTCTCGCTACCGCAGCCCAGTGTGTGTTCTCACACGCGTGCCAAGCAGCTTGTTTGAACTCCGGAGTGTTTTCTGCTTCGGTGAGGTTTGCCCGAGCAGGCGAGAGTAAAGCCTTCGGAACCCGTGCCAAAAAAAAACTGGACCGAAAGCATATGTTTATCAGTTCCAAATGAGCTGCTGTGAAGTTAGTTTGTGATTAAATAACCTACAAGATAAAAATGACAGACTATGGATACACAAACAAATTTACAAAAGCTACCACACTAATAAAAAGACAGTAAAAATACTTCACTTAAGGAAGTAGTTTCAACACGTTTCATTAAATCAGGAACACCATTGAAATACTAAAGATAGTACTATAAACTACAGGTATGAAATAAAGCAAGATTTAGCTTAAATCATGCTTTGAAAGGTCATTAAAAGTTTACGACAGTGGTGTCCGACTCCAGTCCCTGAGGGCCTCCAAGTTTTACAGGTTTTCCTGCTTCAGCGCACCTAATTCTGATGAAATGGATCTATTCAAAAGCTCTGCACCTTTTAATGGCACGTTTATGAGAATCAGGAGTGTTGAAGGAGAGAAACTCTGGACAGCGGCCCTCCAGGACCGTTTGTGAGGAAAAGATAAAGGAAGGCTTAATGTAACACTCACAGAACCAAGCCAAGACACTTAAGTGCAACATAGCTATACTTCAAAAGGTGTAATGATTAGAAGATATGGAAGTTAAGGTGATGGAAATGGTATCAAACCTGGAAAAGAAAAGCAGCAGACTCATAAAATATGTCTTGTTTTCTGGTACAATCGCATAATCAGGGAATTGGTACTAGACTCTATGTATGACAACTTGGCAACTCTGTGGTGATAAGTTATTCTTGTTTGGAAGAGTTGCAGATAACTCGTCTGTGACCGATTTTGGTGGTGTTATAAATAAGGAGTGACGAAATAGGTTGAATCGGTTTCATAAATATCTTTTATGAATATCTTTTATATCTAGGAGCGTGGACGTACTATTTTAATTAACCTAAACATAACACATTCCGATCTCCGAGCTCATCAAAATAGATTGAGAAAAAAAGCTCCAATCAATGTCAAATTAGTTATGCATTCTTTGTGTTGTGATTTCTTGCTACGTTTTTCTATTCATCCCTGGAGATAGATCGTAAATTTCACACTGAAGGCCATCCATATTAAGAGCTCCTATTAGCGCCAGTAGTGTCATTATGATTCTATAATTGCTTCATTTACCATAATAAATATACAGTATATTAAGCTAAGCAACCAATCATTTAAAAATATTGCAAATCACTATATTTGGACAGTAAAAATCAACTGCAGACGTTTGTAATTAACAATGTAATAAGCTACAAAGCTACAGGGTACAATGCTAACGGGCTGATCTTTTATGCAGATCTGAGGAGGTAAATCTTCAGGAGTCAGAGCAAACATTTGGAAAGAAAGCCAAGCAAACTTGTTACAATCCATACTTCCCTCTTTTGAAGCAGCACCTAGAGGCAAGGTCAGGCTGCCCATAGATACAAGTTTGGATGTCTAACGAAGAAGGGATAAAAAGAGAAACCGTTGAAAGTTCAAGGATAAGTTACTTGCCGTGCTGTTGCTAGGATGTAGGTCAGCTATGTATGAATTGAGCTGCCTGTTTTAAAGAAATGTAGTGAAATTACATTAAAAAGAACTGAATGTGATCCAACTTCATTTAGAGTTTATAGAGATAATACTTGCGGTCCGCTGCACATATCATATTCAAAACAGATTAGCCTTATAACTAAACATATAATTAAATTAATTTTTGTTCTAACAATAACCCACTGATAAGGGGATCAGTGTGAGCACAAGTGGGCATTCTGCTAACCTGTACATTTATGATACTAGTGCTTTTTCACATGTGCTCTCTCTAGGGGTCGGTGGTCTGGAAGCAGGGACATTAGCATCACAGTCGTCGTTCATAACGTTTTCAAGCCCAGCCTCATGTCATTATCCATAACTATTCCATTTCTGAACTTTTATGAAAATGATAGAGGGTGAATGCCTGTCTGTTCCGATGCCTCCATTTTTATTGTATAATTCAGATTCCTTTTCTTGAGAATGGCTTTATGGTGCAGACATGGGCAGATGAGTTACCTTAATATCATACCTCAATATTAGAACTGGTCATTTCATAAAGGAGATAGAGGAGAAAGTGTCAGCTACTGGCTGGCAAAGATGTGGGACCGGTCAGATAAGAATATTTATAGTACACCATTCACTGAATAAGAATAAATTCAATGAGTTATTTAAATGCCACAGGGAGTATTTTTCTCTAGTCAACAACTTTGAATTATAATGAGAAACATTTTTAGGGACAGAATTTTTTTTTAGGTATCATCAAAAGTTGCACTAGGTCTATTTAAGAAATTAAATACTAAAGAGGTCTGAAAATGTCCATCACTTACGGGGCTCAGTCTTTGACTCCATTGACAAAAACCAACGGTCAGTTTATTTGTCCATTTCTCCTTGTGATGACTCCTTGCTGAGTGAAATAACTGCTAAGCATCTACTATATGTGGCATTGATGATTAGATCTGAAATTCTGTATATTGGCAGGAGCTTTTTTCCCCGTCTCCTTAAGCACAGGAGACACTCTGTAATTCTTTTTGAAAGGAGACGAAACACTTCCACCCCACGATTTCTTGCATCAACAGTGTAAGAGGCAATGTGAAGTTATTTTTATCCGGCCCTGATTGTGATTCATGTGCATAAATCTGAGGTTAGAAGGGTGAGCGTGAGCAGGCAATAAAAACAATGCATTTTATCCTAGAAGATATTCATTTCCTTATTTGATAATGTGGTAATATTAATGATATAATATGACAATCTCACATGATACATTCACATTTGAATATTGTAATATGGTATAATATGCCATTCTAATATGGCATAACAAGCTAGCATGTGTTTTTTCTATGATATAGTTTGAACAGTTACCATAATATATGGACATCCTATCATCTTGTTAATACAGCTTCTGTCTTTGTAATTACTCCTACCATCTTTCCCTGACCCCATGACATTTGTCAACACAGTAAAAGAAAAGTGTTTAAGAAATAGGAACCCAATGGGAAATATTATTTTCCACATGTACGAATATTTTCATCAACTTGCAAGGATGCCTATCTTTGTCCTTTCGCTTTTCTTTTAGGTCACAGGTCGTCGTTACCAGTACGTTTCAAAATGCATTTAATGCTTTCTCTCTTTAAAGATGACAGAATAAATACCTTAAGGAAAGACGATGGTTCAATTAAACGTTAATAGAAATATTCAGATAGCTAAATAGACATAGTTTCTAGCAAATAGTTTCTAGGCTGAGAAAAAACACAACCTTTGGTAAATCTGGCACTTCGAATTCTATGTCCATACAAAAGCATGACATAAATAAATTTAGACTTCAGGGTGTTCACTGACTACCTCTGTGCTAGCGAGGTTAATTAATTAACCTTGTTTTCACGGGAGCAAGAAGTCATCTTAAGAAGAAAGAAAACACAATGGGCTTACAGTTTACCAGTTTCCGTTCTAAGGAAAGAGAGTATAACGTTAACGAGCCAACCATGGATAAATCTTTAAATCATATTCTTATGGTGCGTTAACATCATCATCCAAGGAGAAAGAGCAGTAACAGTTCCCTCTGGCACAGGGGGGAGTGGGGGCACCACGGAGAGGCGTGAAGTCGGAATCCTCCGGGGGACAAAGCGACCGAGATAAACAGCAGATGGAAACAACAGATAATGCAAAAAAATATTTCAACAACTATAAATCTCTCCTTCCACGCTTTCCATGATAGGTCTATTACTTCAGAGACCAAATCTCTGATAACACTTGTGACACTGCTCCAATATTTCCGGCCAAGATAAAAGTTGCGCCATATATATTTTTTCCTCTTATCGTCTTTATTTTTTTATTTATTTTTTTATTTTCAATTGAGGCCCCTGCAATCGCAGCACAGGTGCTGAGCCTTCTGCATATGAAGAGGCCTCTGAGGTCCTTAAGCGTTGAGAATGGGTTAAGAGTCTGGGTCTGTCGTTGCCTCCCCAGCGGCGTTGCGTTTGGATCTCCGCAAGTGTTTTTCACATAAACGTATGTCACTAAAATTGATAGCTTTCCAATAAACACCAGCGCCTGTCCGCGTAATTTGACACCGTGCGGGAAGCTTGATTTCCATTTGAGCGGAATTACCGGTGGTAGCAGAACAAGGGTTTCTGTGATTGTCAGTGACTGCAGTTTATAAAATAATTGCAGCCCAGGAGGGCCGGCAATCTGTTCCCCTTTTTTTTTTTAGCTTCTCAAAAGAATGTCAAAGACTCTTCCGCCGTCTTGCTCGGTAACGTTCAATTAACAGCGGAATGACAGCTCAGTGAGCGATTTAGTAGGTGATTAGTCATTATCAAACTACAATGATGATGTCATCTAATGTGACAATGGGGCTGCCGTTAAGGGGTAGATTTAACAAAAGGCATGGAGACATCCATTATGGCTGTGGGGTTAAGTGATATGAAGGATGCCTGGCACTGGGAGCAAAGTGATGAAGCTTCTGTCACTTTCAGAAGCAGAGCAGAAATCAACCTTAAACAAAAAGAATGAAAGAAAGAAAATCTTCCTTCCTGTTAGAGCACAGGCAGATCTTCTATTCAGATCACTTGTTTGCAGAGAGCTCAAACTAACCCAAGGCTCCAACTGCGCGCTATCCAATAAACGGCCTTCTTTAGACCTTTCATGCTAAAGTACAATGTAAATAAAAATCTAATTATTTTTGCATAATTACTTTTCCTTGCAATGGCAACAAAACAAATCAACTTTGCGTGCCTCGAGGCAGACCGGTTAATTCACAATCGTTGCTGGGACCCCGGCGCGTGGTCGACACCTGCGGCGCTTTTATGGTCGTGACAAAATCTAAATCGACGGATATCTAAAGGTTTCAAGACGGGATTGCTGTGACGCAAATCAATAAAGGCCAGCGAAAAGCTTTTTTTTTTTTCTCCGTCTAAGACTTTATTGTTTCTTGCAAATTACCATTTAAGGAGAGCAAGTTTTCGCTTGAGGATATCATTAATCATCACACTGGCTGTTGAGATGGTTGCTACAAGGTTGACTAGTGGCACGTGCTCCATAAAATGGGTTGTTTACTGTTCTTGGTGTTGGTTTAGCTGTTCTAATATTTTCTATAATATATAAATTCTTATTCAGAGGGAATTGGAAAAACAAAAGGGCATGCATTGTGGTCCTACACCAGCTTATGGTCCACAATATATATGTATATATATATATATATATATATATGGTCTTTCTCTAAATACTTTCACCACTCTCATCATTATTAACTTGACTTGATTTGTCTTCCAAGCCATGATCAAGTGTGTTTTGCTCTCTACAGATATCGGTCGTCGATGCTTGAAAACGCATTGTGAAACATTCAAGCCTCACCTTTTCTCGTCTCTGTACCATTCAAACTCTGGCGTAGGCACGGCAACAGCTTCACAGTGCAGCGACCCCATGCGGCCCACGGGCGTCTCTGAGCTCTGAGTTTTCTTTATTGTTGGAGGATCTGCAAAGATCAGAGGAAATGAATCTAAATCAAAGTGCAATACATTAGGTAGGTGCAATTAAAGCATTTTGTTCTTGTTATTCACAGTGAATATAAAGCATTTGTGGTTTCTTCAGTATTTCTTTTAAATCATAATGTACTGTTTTCCTTTAAACAGTGAATTATTCTGAAAGTGTTTTTTAGGTCTGACTGATATACATGTGGAACTGTGAGACCCTTCTTTAACAAATCTCTATGACAATAGCCAGTTAAACGTCATTGAGCGTTTTCTATAAACAGCATTCTATGCGTGCAGAAGGTGTTTTTTTCTGGGTTTTACACATTTTAGCCCCACATAGCAAATGCTAAATCTATTACTGGGGCTTAAAATGAAAAAAGTAGAGCTCAATATGATACAATTAATCAGAATACTAGCATAAGAACAGGCAAACATCTGAAATGGATTGGCTTTCTGCACATCTTCCTCTAAGAAAAGGTTTAATAGGGGTTGAAATACACTTCTTACAAGACCATTCAACAAAGGAATTTAATAATTTTTGCACGTTTTGCTGCTTCTGATGTCACATGAGCTGAACGCACTCCTGAAAAGATTGAAATGATCAGTATTCCAAATTCTGAACGCTACTTCAAACGATGATGTTTTTTGTGGGAAATAGCATGGAAGTGATGGACCCAATCTACCAGAGAGCCTTCTCTTTCTACTCGGGTTTACCTCCAGCCAGAAATAAAGCGAGATCTATAAAGCTCCATCAGTCCCTGCCTGGCTATGCAGGACTTTGTATGCTTCTCCCTTCAACTGCCTCTCGATTCAGTTTAGCATCTCGAGCGGCGACATTTCTGAGATGAAATGCTGTGAGTTGAGCTCAGCTCGTACTTACAGTTGACAACTACGTTGACGTATTTGACGTCGGGCGTGGCGACGTCGTTGCTGGCCTTGCATTCGTAGCGACCGGCCTGGTTTCGCATGATGCCTATGATATCCAGATACTCCTCTCCATCTAAAGGCTCTGCTGCAGAGAGAGAGAGGGGAAAAACATGTAAAAAGGGGCGGGTGCAAAGGGTAGAGGGGAGAGAAACAACGAGAACGGAGACAGCAAGAGGTTCCATCAGTTACACTGAGAGAGGAATTACCCAAGGGATAGATTTCTTGTAAATGGTCTGCCGAGCAACAGCGAACGGCGGGGAAATAGTTTAGCACCTTTGGGAAATTGACACAACTTTCACAGTGGTCTGTTAATTCTCTACACTGTAAATAAAAGATGGGTGCAGCTTCTGTGACTTGAGCTCCATTTAAGCCTTGAATTTGGCATTTCCACTGTCACCTTCTTGATCTTAAGGTTGTCTTGAAAGAAATGACATTGATTTCAACACCGACTAAAGCAAAATCTGCCCTATTATAGAATTGTGTTTTGAAGAACGACCAGGAACCTTGACAAAAAACTGAAAGAGTGGTGCTCTGACCGACAATTTGTGGACAAAAATGATAAAGGAATCTTTTTTTGTACAGGCGACTTAACCCAGTAATGCTAAATGTATCATATTTGATACACACGGTGTCTGAAATGTTTTGCATCTGACACCTTTTGCATAATTTAATGGTAAAAACTTTGCTCATAATCCTATTGTACACAATCAGATACACCTGATAACAGGGGGCAGAAGACTACACAAAAAACAATCTTGACTTATCGCATAGTAATAAATTATTAATATTAAAATTTTTTTTTTTTTTTTCTTTTTCCATATTTTGTTAACTCATTCGCTGCCAAAGACGTCTATAGACGTCTTTTCAAATCCAACTGCTGACTGCCAAAGACGTCTATAGACGTCTTTTATGTTTTTCAATGCGAGTGGCCTGGGGGACGATCGGCGAAAGTTTTTCCGTAAATATCGGCTTCTAGACAGAGTATGTAGTAACAAATTTACCCTCTAGGTAGCTGTGCCACTTTTGATGAGAGATTAGCATAGATTGTAAGCAAATAAAAACAAACGCAATGGTTCGCTATGAGAGAAATGGCGCCGGTGAGACGCACGTCGAAGAAGAACGGAATAAGGTAGAAACAAAATCTTTTTTCCTGATGAAAGAAGAGAGTCTACTCTTTCTTTTGGTGTGTCCGGTGTTTACATAGTCATAGCACAAACTATTCTGTGGCTCTTGAAAAATCAGTCAAAATTCTCAAAAAACTCTGGCAGTGAGCGACTCTCTGTTCTGAAAATGGCTGGCAGTCAAAGGCCAAATAAAGACTTAAAAAAAAAGCAATTTTCTAATTCTTGGATCAGGCTTGAAAGGGTTAAGGATGCAATAACCTTCTTTTTAACTTTGTCATACTGATGTAAATAGAAATAAATTTGTCAGTTTTTCCATGTAACATTAGCCAATGCTTCTTCTAAATGAGGCAACTGAATTTATTTTTCCATCCATGCCAGCTTGCCAGTGGACACTGAACTTATCTCTGACTTAAAGTTTCAAACTGTGTTCATCAGCTATAGCTGAGCGTATATGCATTCGTTAATTATTTTTCACGGTACCAAAATAGACACGGTTTTTCATTTTGAAATGACTAAATGTCATATTTCACACCTTCGAAAAAGGAAGGCACAAGCGCGGCTGAAAGTGAGGCAGCCGCATGACACGTTTTCTGCGTCTGCTGCCAACAGTTACACTCGTTTTGTGATGCACACCCTCTCGTGTGGCATAGTGTTGTAAACTACTTGTAAACACAGGAAGGCACTAAAGCGCTGGTGTGAAAAAGACAACAGAAAAGGTTTTAGAGAAGAGTTCAAACAATTCTTCTCGCCCCCTACCACACACACACTCACACACACACACGCACACATCTCATCAGCTGCTTGATGCACAACTGCTTGAGGGGTGGATGTTTCGCTGACAGTTAAAAAGCAAAGCAAAGCTGTCATGTGCATCCCTCTCAAGGGGGATCTATACATCACAAAAGCAATAAGAAATATTTTGCATACTCTTTTATTTTGGGCAACGGCAACAGCTTGTCACGGATTATTTGCTTTGCTCGAAAGCACAATTAGATTCAAATCATTAGAAGAATCAGCTCTGCAACCGTGAGACAAAACTGACCAAAATGCAAAAAAACAACAAAGACCATCTGGTGCTTTACTAAATCATTGCTTAATAAGCAAATCAGCTAACTGTGTTACTAAAATACTGACTGGGCATCTATTTTGAGCCATCTATGTTTGGGTTATGAACTGTATTTGAGGTAAGAAAACAGTAACGACTATTCAACTCATGACAATTAATTAAAGTTAATGTGTAACTTTAAAATGATTAGAGAGGGGAAAGCTGCACGCTCTAAGTTTGTGACCTATAAAACAGTAAAAAGAATTCATTTGACTTGAGTTTTGTATTCTAATTCCGGCTCCACCTGAGAGCGGGGACTTGATAAGTAATCATCTCCTCGTAAACCGGCGTGCCGGCAGCTCAGATCTCTGGGTATTTCTCCAAAAGACACAATTATCTGCATTGAATGTGGGAGGGAATCTCTGCGGAGCCAGCAAATGTAATAACCGCTACAACATAGACTGATGCTTCCCTTAACCCAGAAAATAAGGAACGATGGAATCTTGGTGGTGGAAATAAATTGAAGAGGGGGAGATCTCTGGGATGAGGGAGACAGTATGACAACACATTGTGTCAGCTGTATCGGCTGTGGGGAAGTTTGTGTTTTTCACTAACGGCCTGCAAGTTTCAACCGGCGGCAGCGCTCTGATAAAGGAGGCAAAGCAACGTTTTGCTTCGGCTGCTGGTGATTTTCTGTAAAGCTCCAGTTAACAGCAACCCAATAAAAATAAAGGAAATGCTGTCAAAACGGGCCGCTGTCTCTCAATTCGAAAAAAGGGGAGATGGAGAGGATAAAAGCCAATGTAAATGAGCAAATCGCTTTCATGACACAGATGGAGGTCATCTGGCACGATATCATTTCACCCTGATTGAAAGATCAGCAGGATCACGATCAAAGTCTAAAATACATCGTATTCACACGTCCCTGAACAAACTGCCAGACGTGCCAACGTGATCACGGAGGTATGATTGAAAATCTGTTACCATGGAAATTCTATTGAACTCCATTCTATTCCTCAGCACTTTGGTTTCGGCGCTGGACAAAAAGATGGCAAGGGCCAGGTGAGCACCGAGATCAAAGACTGGAAAGCAGAGTATAAAGGATGGAAGGGAATTTAAATGGCAGATTACGGGAAGTAGCTCAACTTCTTGCAAAAGCTCAACCAGTCTTTTGACCCGAGGCGTATGACGAGTAACTTATAAATCATACTGGATGAATGAAAAGAGACGTTTGGTGTAAAGGAACAATGAATTACGCAACAACACTTTGTCTTTCTGCCTGTTGAGACTACAGCTCCCTGCATAAGAAATGTGCGCTTCATGTTATCTACTTAATGAAGCATAATGAAGATAGATTGACTAATCTTTTCGAATGGGGAGCGGATTTGAGTGTGTGTGCAGCATTAGTGCGCGAGCCATGCTGTGAGTGGAGGCGTAATGTGTGCATGGTGAGAGTGAACCCTATGTGCATGAATTGGGGTGAAGAAAGATTTCCTTGAGGGTTTACAAGGAGCCCTGAGAGTGGGGACTGATTCAAAATGTGCACATTAGAAAAGCCCCATGAATCCCAGCATTGCACCATCAATTATATCATATTGTCTCCATTCTGAGCTGATCGGGATGGAGGAGTGTGTGTGTGTGGAAAATAGCACAGTGAAAAGGGCTGGAACAAAGAATGAGCATATTTTATGATTATATGCTTCCTAATAAGACAGTTTATGTCAGGATGATAACATATATAAGACAACATTGCATGGAATGACTTACAACTGTTTACAACAGAATTAGTGGCGAGTCAAGTTATCACTGCATCTTGCTTTAATTCCATATTAAAAGGAAAGATGGGAGAGACTTTTATTCATTCTTTTCTCATTATAAAAATACTATTGCAGAGGATGTTTGAAGAAAAAGTAGAAAACCCTGAAAAAAAAGCCTATTTATACAGAAACCAAGCGTATTGCTTACATAACACTAGCCCATCAGCATCAAGCAATTCAATTATAACTAGTAACTTATTAGAACAAACTGATAGCTAAGTACCCTGATATGTGTGTAGGGAATACTGTTCATGGGTTAAATAAAATGCAGCTCCAATAATTCCATGTGTCAAAATGCCCTCATGTCTTCATTAGCTGACAGGCCTGTGGTGAAAACTTGAAAGTTATGAACAAATCAAACCAAATAAAAAAAATTAGAAATAATTCACACCGTTAAGATCCACCCAACCGCTTCAAATTCTCATTAAATCTCATTTTGGTTGCCAGGGTGCTTGAGTCTATTCCAGCTGTCAGTTTTAATAGACAGAAAGAGAAAACAAAACAAAATAAACAACCGCAAAGTATCTCCAAGGGAAGTATTGAGATAAGAATACCTAAAATGGACGTTTTGGATAGTGGGAGGCACCTATTCATACCCGGGGAGAAACGACAAACCTCAAATAGTCCCAACCAGAATTTGGAACCAGGAATTGTCCTGATACGAAGCGACGGTGCTTTGCACCTACTGTGCAAATAGTGAACAGTGATCTGTGAGCATGACTAAAACACTAAAAACCTAATTTACACTGATTAGTGTCATGTCATGATGATGAAGGAAAAAGCACTGGAACCTGTACGTGTGTAAAATCTTAAAGTTAGAGCCTTCAAAACCAATGCTTAACCAGCTCCTGATATCTGCTTTTTTCCTCTAAGACATGGGGAATAAGGCTATCTAAAAAAAATCTTTAGTCGATTTAAACAGCAAAAATAGAAAAGTCACATTTCTCATTTGAAAAGAAAATTTTGATTGATGTAATTCTTTCCACTGAGCTAATCCTGGTTAAGTTTAAATGGGCGTCATCCAGGTATCGTGTTAGTAAACACCTCACTGTGTGACTTGTTTCACAAAATTGCTGTTAGATGAGAAAATTTGCAGCTAACAGTTTACTTGTTAAATAAAGCGTGAATGCAAATTATGAACACTAGTTTTTATGCCTGCAAAGCACGATGAAAAATAGAAAGGTTTTTCTTTAGTGATTCTAAAAACAAAACATCCTCTTAATCTGTTTACCTGTGTAGCAATCAGATCATTCTCAAATAATATCTGATATTCCATGTCCTTACTACTTAATTACATGGCAACAAAAACAAATGGGCCGATATGCCAGTTTGTCCGAGACTCACTGCGCTTGCAAATTTAGACCAAACATTTGGGATAATCGAATGAAGGGAAATTCCACACAGGGGTCCAACAATGTCAAAATAACTGCTTCTGTTGTGTTCAATTATAGTGGCAATAGCAGTGGCTGTTTATGAGACAGCACTCAGTGGCAGGTTGTCACTTTGTCCTATTTTCACACATTGCTGCTGATTTAAAAATGTCAAACTTATGTCAGAAGTGGGAGATTTGGGAAGAATGATTCTTTCTCAGCAGTTGAAATTTCTTGCAATTTTGGAATCAAGTTATACCGTTATCAAGTGGTTTAGGTTGGCCTTTTGTGTCACATAAAGGCCAGGGTGGATCCAAAAATGCAGACGCAAACACAAAGAACTTGACGTGGTAACAAACTGAGTACCGTGGAAGAGAAGTGGCATACAATGGACAAGGATCTGATAAACAGCGACTGTGCCAGAGAACCTATGTTCAGAAGAGGGTGATTGATGAATGAAGAGCATGCAAGACAAATAACACGGGCGAAGAGTGTGGAGCAGCCAACCAGACTGGGAAAACACTGAGAATAAAAAGGAGTGCAGAAGAGGAAAATGAGATTATGGAGCAATGGAAGAAAAACTGAAATCTTAATGAAACTAGAATTTATAAAACCACAAAATGAACTTGTGACGTTTTGTAATGAAATGTAATGCTGAACGTTGATGCTGATTAAAGACAAGAAGAACGTTTGATGTGGCCCCTTTTTCTGTTGTTGTTCATTTGTATGATGGCTTGAGATGACCTGGAAAACTGTCCAGGGTGTTCCCTGCCTCCCGTCCAAAGACAGATGAGAAAGGCTCTTGTATCTATGTCTCATTTTGCACTATAATGTCAAAGTAGGATCATGAAACCACTACGCGGTCAAATTGATGACTAATCGCAAAGCTGTGGTTACGGCTCAATGTGATTCTTTAAAATCAGATACAAGAAAAATGTATTCTGAACAAAGTTTTGCCACAAAGTGATGAAATAAGGTCTGATATGCAAAGGATTTCAGAAATTGAATGTTTCATGTGGCATTTTGTACTAAAATGCATGGACTGGAGGTGTGCCAAAGTGGCCCCAGTATGAACAAATATTGTAAATATTAAAAATGTTAAAAATTTTGTTGGTTCTTATTATCTCTGTAACTAATTATGACTTTAAAGATGGATGAATCAATCGTACAGACATATTTGACTTTACTTGGTTGGTGCTTATGTCTGATGATGTTGTATGCATGTATGTATGAGGGATCTAATCTTCATTACGTCACCAGTTTTAGTTCGGCATTACATTATGACTATTATTATTTGTATGTAAAGAAGCTTTAAAACAATCTTGTAGTAATTTTTTCTGCAAATGAAATATTTCAATTTTTTCCAGTCCACCTACTTTTCCCATGTTTTTAAAGTAAATTGTTTTGTTTGTTTTCCTTTTGGCTCCATCAACAGAGAATCCAAGCCCGCTCTTTTCTCACTCACATATTTACACATTCATTGGACACCTTTGATTTTAACTGCGGGGTTAGATTTTTCTAGCCAAGCAGAAGTGAATTTGTTGCCCATCTCTCACGTTTCTCTCTGACTTTTCTCCTGGGTTTTTTTGTATTTAGAAGCACTTTAATGCCTTGAGCGACTCTAACAATAGAATTCGCAATGGGGAGCACAGAGAGAGGAGGTGGAAAAATGTCATTTTCCTACTCTAGAAGAGCAGTAACTGGAATAGCAACTTGCACATGAAGCATCCTCTCTTTTTATAAAGTTGAACTTCAACTTCTTAACAACATCTTCTACTGTGTGACAGCTGGAAACGAAGCCATCGCTTTGCAACGTCCACGCTGTTTCATAAATTCCTCTGATTTGCGCATCCGAGCATGCGGTGCTTTCCTATTCCCTTTCGGCGACTGGATATGTTCTTTTAAAAATGAAGCCATTTTCCTTGTAATCAGAGCCAACTTTACACCAAACCTGCTCGAGTACAAAGCCGAAATTGCCCCCCTTTAGTGAAAACCCTTAATTTCTGCTGCTGCTGAGAGGTACTATCTCTCATGTGCCACCGAGCATGGTCAGACATACATGGATACAAATCAGGATGCTGTTAGAGGAAACCATCTAAAATCTGAGAATTACAGGAAACATCAGCATGATTCGGATGTTCGGTAAGCAGCGCTATGGCTCCCAACAACTGAGAAGTGAAGATGAGGCACTTTAGCCAGCTCGTCTCCTCAGCCATTAAGGTTTGAAAGCATTTCAAAATTCGCTTAGAAACCTGATACCGCAAAGTTTCTGACTGTTTGCAGTTAATAATATTCGGAGTCTGTGCTTACGCTGCATTGTACGTGTTTGTGTCTGTTAAAAAGCACAACTCATGCTGTTTTTATGGGGAGCAAGATCCAAAACCGATCTTTGTACCGACATTATCCGGCATCCTCTCGTTTACTACACAGGTCATTGCTCTCTATCCTAACAGCTAGTTTGACCGAGTACAGACTTTAAAGCCTCAAAGCTTTGGGGAAACGCAGCAGCGGGCTTTTGGAGGAGGTCTGGGATGAGTTTAGCATCCTGGTAGAAGCCCACTTCTAACAGATGCCCACTGATTTGCATTGCAACATTTTGCTTATACAAGCAAGCAAAGTTTTCCAAGTCAATTCGGGGACTCTGCAGGAGTTAAGATTCAGTGGGTCCAAACATGATCGCAGTCTCACCGAGCTTAGAGAGGGGGATACGGGTGGGTGATGGGTTTGAGGGGTGGTGGAGCTTACTCCTAAGCACGGCCTTATGCATCATTCATCAGCATCACTTCACCAAAGCGCAAAACATTACAATTTATTTCACATATGCTAATTTATTCTGAGCATCTGATTTGAGAAACTTCAGGCAAGTGGCATAAGAGATCCGGAGACATCTTGGCTCGTTTTGTCTGTGTGGAAGCAAGCGACCGTGTGCTTGTACAAGTATTCGTAAAAAAAACCCAACATAATTCCCTGGGGAATTCAATTCCTTTGCTGTTTGAGCATTAGCGCACATGTGTTTGGAAAGTTGTCTCAAGCAACGCCGCCGTGGGGTGGCTGTCCCTTTTTTTGTGAGTGGCTCTGATTTAAATGGTGGGTCAGAAGATAATTATAGAGTGACTACTTTGATCAACACACTCCTCACTGTGGAGGTAATGAGAAGATGGCGGGGATGAGAAACCACATTAATCGCTAGCTCGATTGACGCTTAATCAACGATGTACTGCTGCCAGATATCTATCTCAAAGGGATTGCTGTGTATCATAGATTGTTTTTTTGGTAAATGTCATTAGTCAATGCTCATTATTTTGGAAGATCCTACTCAGTAGAAACTCAGTAAAAATCAGTAATTAAAAATCTATTAGCTTTGCGTTGCCATCTGAAATCTATATAATAATAATGTAGTATTTGAGATAATTTACGTTTCGGGACCAACGAATCCAAGACGGCCGTTGATTTTTGCGCTTGTTGAGTGGGAGAAATGTTCTGCACGTCAGAGCTCGTGTCGACATTTCCCTCCATCACGTTTTTTAACTCCCTCCCTCTCCTGCCATGTGCCTCTCCAGCCCTTTGAGACCGCTCCGACGGGGTTCCTCTCAGCGTGGCCTCGGATTCGAGCCCGCCGCATGCTGCCTGGCTGTTTGTCCCATTAAGTGTGAGGCTTGAAAAGGAGATTAATTGGTGATAAAAAACACAGTAGGTGTTCAGAATTTGGGCGTCAAGGTGTCTGGCCGTCACTGATCACGCT